AAAACAAATCTACATAATCACATGAGTTGGCAGTGGTGGCTCAAAAGTAAGATCGGATATGATTTTTTCGATACGAGCGACAATAATGCATTATCCTGTAAAACAAAAACTGCTAAAAATTCGGCACTTTTCACGCAGGCTATGGAGGATATTGATTACATATGTTTGTCAACGGATTATAGTCGAAATAATTTTTTCAAACAGACTGAACGGAAGTTAACTTATCTAATAGAAGATGTGGACTGGAATGGTTATTGGTATTACCTGAACATGGGTTTATCTATAAAGGAGGCTATGACACCACAAAATGTTAGCAATTTCAATGAGTACTGGCTTTGGAACTTACAACAATTGGTAGCGCGTTACAAACTGGAAAAATATGCAGTTGGTTTAACTGAAGTTCTTAATGATCCCTGTAGTACTCATAAAATGGATTACATACCCAATATGATAAGTAAATATGGTGAAAAGTTTGAGCCAATGTCCTGCAAACTTAATGAAAAAGTTATGCAATTTATCAGAAATATGCAAGCATATATAGAAAGGGCAATAAGTAAAGAGAGCTATGATGGGCGTAGTGTTAAAACTATTGATCTTCATAAAAAAGAAAATGTTCTCAATATGTTGCAAGAGTTTTTCAACATTAACTTAAAGCAAATGTACGACTATTGGTCTTCTTCTTTCAATATAAAACCGAATCTTCTACTCAACTATGAAACAATGTTACGAACTCCTCTTTTCTATTATTTTGCAGAAATATTATTGTCCTCGTATCGGTCCTTAATAACGCATTATCAACCTTATGACAGTCATTTATTTCAACTTCCAGGCGTCAAAATAAACAATGTTAACATTAGTGCTTTGGTTACGCACTTCGATTTGTATAACGTCGATATAAGCAACCTCTTGAATGAGAAACATTTTTATATAATGAACCAATTTCAATGGAAAAAATCGCTACAAGCAAAACAGCAGCGGCTAAACCACAAACCGTTTACTCTGCTTTTTAATGTAACCTCAGATAAACCACAAGCAATCGTTTTACGTACTTTCTTGACATCAACTTCACGCTCTTATCGTGACCATTCTGAAAACATATATCAGCTTGATACTTTCGTCACAAATGTAGTGGTTGGAGTAAATATCATACAACGTAAATCCATTGAGTTTTTTGGTACAACAACAGATCCTACAGGTTACTCCGAACTATATCAGTATACGTTGATAGCGTTAGATAATAAATTCGTGTTTCCTTTGAATATCACGACGCCAGATTGCGCTTTTCCGAATCGTTTAATACTGCCACAAGGTTCGAGTGATGGCGTCAAAATGGAAATGATTTTCGTCGCCACACTATTTTCACCTAATGATTTCCGTTTTGGAAACAACATGAACTGTAATTTTGCTGATGGTATATTAAGTTTCGATAACTTGCCTTTCGGTTTCCCTTTCGATCGAAATTTGGATGAATTTGAATTATTAAACAGAACAAATGTGTTGCGAAAGTCGGTAAAAATTTATCATAAAACTAAGTTGCATTAATAATAATTTATTATGATATACTTGTATTAAATATTTAAATATTAAATAAACAATTAAATTATTAATAACAAATATTTACCAATTGGTAGTAATGGTGCATGAAGTGAGTGCAGTAGATCGAACGCCTAAAGTGACATCCGTTCATGGCGCCAAAAATTGAGAAGCTCTAGACCTAAATTTTGTACTTCTAGTACATTAACATCATGCAATTAGGGCCACTGCTTAATAGGAAGACATGCTATACAACTTGGTCTGCCTAATAATGATTTTTTGCGATGTTGTGGTTCCGAAAATGAGGAGGAAATCCACCTCATGTGTCAGTGTTCATCCTTAGCTAGAAAAAAATTTAAATTGTGCGGGCCCCTTTTCTTAATGTCGAGTAGCCTCAGCCAGCCAATCCGATCAGTTGCCTGCTGTCGACAGGTACTAGTACCGAGTGCTCCCAAATTGTGACCTGGTCCTTCCATCAAAGATGCGGACGTCCTCTACCGCATTTTTTACCTGTAGGTACCGATTTAAACACCTTTCAGCCATAGCACTTTCTTCCATTCGTACGACATGACCAAGACAGCGAAGCTGCTGTATTTTAATGCGTTTAACTATGTTAATGTCGCGGTTTAGCTCATACAGCTAATAGTTTCATCTAATTCAACACTTGTCATCAACGCGTTATGGATCATAGATCTTCAGAAGAATTTTCCTTTCGTATGCTTCTAACACCTACTCATCACTGTTGATAATTGTCCAAGCTTCTGCACTATACAGCATGATAAAAAAAGTATTTGGATCAGTGCAAGAACACGGAGGATATCGCACGGAGGATATATGAACTCGATCAACTGATGGAAGGTGATACAATAATCACACATATAAAGAACTTCCGCTAGAAGTGGATAGGACACGTTGTGCGGATGCCAACACAGCAGTCAGGTTTTTCGTGAATGAAGTTAGAGCAACGAGAAGAAAATGAAGGTGGAGAAAAGAATAAGATGGAGTGACACTGTACGACAAGTGTTGAGAGATAAGAATGTCATCAACTGGAAGATATGGAGAAAAATTTTTCCAATTATGACATAAGGTTTTTTTTTTGGTTGGGGTCCATTTTAGTTAATAAAATAACAGTTGATTATATAATTTAAAATAAAATTTTATTAATAGGATGAAATTTTAATACTTAACATTTTTTTATATTAAAAAAAGTTATAGCTATTAAAAGTGCAATTGGAAGCACTAAAACAATTACTCCCCCTAATTTATTAGGAATTAAACATAAAATTCAACAAGCTTAGGTACTACGTGGACTTTATAGCTCTGAATGATGTTGATAATTATACTCTTCTTACTCTCTTCTTATAATGGAATCCGATTTCAAGCAAGAAGTTGTCGTTAGTGTGAGTAGCAAGTAAGAAACCTTTTGTTTTTAATGATAATCACCCGGATTGTTGTAGCATAAGGTGTTAACAGTTTATTTATTTTTATATCTTATGTGTGATCTATGTATCCATTTGCTTAAAGAATCTAAGCAAAGGTTTGAAGTTAATGGGCTCTCAAATTTTAATGTATCTTAAACGGATGAAGCACGTACAAGACCTTGCAATTAACTTGTAAGTCTGAATAATGCATTTTAAATAAATAATAAAATCTTTGAATTTTGTAAGCTAAGACATTTTTTTTTAATTACTTAACATTTGTGTTTACCACAATCTCGAATTTTTTTTTTATTTTATATAACTAATAGATTTTTTTTTTTTTGAATCAATTAAAAATGGCGTCACCAATGCAGTCTACCTTTTTTTACTATTCTGTGTTTATTTAAAATTTTTCAAATTTGAATTTAACGGAAAGTGACGCCAAATTTCGATAATTACCCAAAACACACAAATCCAAAAAAAAAAAAAAAGATTTGTAATAAAATATAGAAAATGGTTAAAGCACTAATCAAATTTAAATATACAATGAACACACAAACACAATGCCTATTGATGCAAAGCATTTAACAACCACAAAATGTAAAAAAATTAAATAAAAAAACTTGTTGTGTGCAATCAACACAGCAGCGAATATGTTTAAAATAAATACGCTGAACACTGTAGATACAAAATTTGCTGCAGTAAATCTAGAACTAGTTTTCAAAACGATAATGATGGTGTATAAAAAATATTGGACACCTGCACGGTCTAAAATTACAACAACAACAACACCAACAACACCAACGATAGCAATAACAATATTATCCAAATCAACAGCACAAAGCCACCAACAATAGCAGCTTAATACCAGAGCTGCAGAGATACATACGAGTACAGTAATACAGTACAGCCACAGCCACAGATACAGATGCAGATACAGCGGATTCAATTGAGTTATGAGGCACCTACAACATGAAATATTGTAGATACGAGTAGTAAGAAAATGCATCAGAAAAGTGAAACGAAATAAAGAAAAATTGGAGCCAAAACAGAGAAGAATAAAGCATAAGGTTAGAAATAAAACGAATATAAGCCATTATTAAGTTGATAATAATAAAAAAAGTGTATATATTTAACTGATATCTATACTCAAATGTATATATATATACATACGAGTTTGTATCATACAGATACGAAACATACGAAACAATAATAAAAATCAACTCTATAAATAATGAAAAATTTCATTTAAATGGTGCCAGTAGGTAGTGAAAAAACGCGCCGAGGAAGAAGAAGAAACTCCTCTAGATTGAACCTTTTTCCATTTTTTCTACCCTTCGTCGTCCAGCAAAACAAAAGCCTTTTTTAAATAATATTTGCTGGTATTTGTTGTTGTATCTACAAACCTAGACTTTTATTTCCAAGAAATTTAAAACTTTGCCTTACAACAAAATGAAGGGCAAGCAACCACACTTGAAATCATATGAGATATACGTGTAGTAAGTATGAAAACGGGCACAACAACAATTAAACGCAAAAATTGGGAACAAAAGATACAGATACATAAAATCAGAAACACAACAAAAAAAAAAATAGAAGCAGTGGTAGCAGGTACACAACTCGCATGTGCAAATGAAGAGGAACGAGGAACACAGCTCGACAGGATCATATTGTAAGCAAATGTTTTATGCGTAGTTCTGCCAATGGACAAACACACACAACACACCACAAGTACGACAAGCCAGTGTTTGAGGAGTAGTAGACACAGACGGACAGATATATCTATATGTAAACCTAAAGATAAAGCAAGCAAACAACTGACAACCCAACAAACGTATAAGTAATCTTAATTTATATGCATACGGCAGTCGTCAGTCACTCGTAGATACACAAACACTTCAACATATCGAAGAGAAAAGGATCACATTTTGTCAGTGATCGAAAATTGGTATCACTTGATATATGCGTTTTGTTCATGTTTAATTTAAATTTACGGACATTTTGCTCGAATAGACAATGAAGTTTAGTTAAATAAAGAAAAAAAAACAAAAAAAAGATATAATATAAAATAAAAACAAAAACTCACCCAATCGATACAATATTTACAAAATTGAACAGACATAAATCTTTTTTTTTCTCCACTGACTCGGTTTTGCTTAAGCAAAAATTAAACGAATAAGGAAAAAATCTAAATTACACATTCTCATATCGTCTGCATTAGAGGCTATTAAGGATATGGGTTGACCTGTTCGAGGAGAATACAAATTGAAATTTCACGGTTTAATCTTCGTTTTAATGCATTTGAAAAATTTTGATTGCTTATACGTTTCGAAAGGTTTTTGGTTAAGTTCTTGTATTTAGATTTTGCCCAAAGGCATCTCATGTAGTTCAAGTTGCATCCATAAAATCCAAATTAAAGAATTGATACAATTGTGGTATCTTGTGGGTTTACCCGGTTGTACATATGTACGCAAATACGATAATGAATGTTATTTTTGTTAGCGAAAGAAACTATAATGAATTAAAAACAGTTTATAGGCTAGAATATAATTATTAATATATAACCAGATTATTATATATTGGAGGGTGTGGCAGTAAATCGCATTCAAGCGTTTGGCGAGTTACCCAACTTGTATGAGGTCTCGCATGATCTTGTTGGTACTCTGCACCCTTACTATAGAACAACTCTGGTTTCTTCTTATGAACGAATGTTTACGACTTATGATTTTACTAAAGGAACTTGCAAAACTTGTGGATTTTCCTATTTCTAATGCACCATGTTGCTTCTGTGATCATCCTTAATACATTTGATAAAGCTTCTTTCAGAAGTTTAATATTTGAATCAATTACATATTGCAATACAGATCATATGAATATGTTTTATGTTAGAAAACTTTGTGCTCTTTAACGATTAAAAGAGATTGACATATGAGGCATTAGTGTCCAAATTTTTTTTGTTTTTATTTATTAACGTCATGTTAAAATGAAGTGAATCCCAAAATTAGTGACGATATATGCTTATACTATTAGAACGATATTGCGCGCAGTTAGTAATAATATTATATTTTAGAAATAAAACAATTCACCTTATAGAAAATCAAGAAAAGTTCTCACACCTCCTTTTTGGGTTTTTTTTACTTACTGCTAACTGGTTTTTTCCAGTAGGTGGAAGCCATCAAAAGCCACAGTGTGAAACTAGAACCCACTAAAACCACCTCTTAGGATTGAATGGAGAAAATTTCCAAAGCATTGTAGAAACTTCATTGTGGTGATAAAGGAAGAGAGATCAAGAGAGAGAGCAAGAGGCTTAAAACGTATCAGACTAGGTTTACCTTAGCCAGAAAGTATGGACATAAGGTTGGCTGGTAGTTAATGAAGGGGAGAATCATAGGAGAGATAAGTTTGATATACCAAAACTTTCCAGATAACTGAATAATAGTTATCCAGATAATTGAAACTTATCCAAATAATTATTTAGATAAAAAATTACAGATAACTGACTAATAGGAAAACTATTATCCACACTTTTTCTATGGAAATTAGGGAATATTTTAAGAA